CCATCCCACCGGGGCAGGGGCAGTGAGCGATGGCTGCGCGGTGCTGAGCTGCTGCCTGGGGCTGAACCACTACAGTCCTCTTACCAGTGCAGGGAAGTATCCAGTTCCTTTCTCTGACCATGAGAATGGCAGGCTGATGAATTACACTATAGAATCCTGGGCCTGGGTTTTCATTCTAGCAAGAGGAATATCACACGTGTTGGCCAAGCTGTATTAATTACCTCTCTCCCAGGGCAAACGCAATGAGACACAGGCACGGGCTCACGCTGATGCGAACGGGGCAGCTCCTTCCCCCGGTACATCCCTGCTCTTCATCTTTCTGAGCATAGACCAAAACACACCAGCTCTTTTAGGAGTAACTCTGAGAACAGTGACGCTGGAACGGAGCAATGGTCCATACAGTCTGTATGTGTCCATAGGTATCTGAACAATTTTTAAACCTCGCTTACGACTGGTCTTGCTGGCCCTTATGGCTGTGAATTTCACAAATTAACTACTATTAATGACTTTTTTTTTTAATTTGTGTACCTGTTGCTCCAAACAGCTTTCATAGTAAATTACCATCCCAGCTTACAAATGCAGAATGAACACTGTTTGTACAATTATTTCCTTCTTTCAAGTTTAAATTTCTTGCTTTTTAAGTTTATGCTGATATTCTTCTGTTTAATTTTTTCTGAATTATCTCACATACATTTCAAGCCATCTTATTTGCCTTCTCTCTAAATTAAACATCTTCAGTGTTTTCGGTCTTTACTCGGACTCTAATGATCGTATCTCTTATTTCTAAATTGAGTCTATTTCTGCCGTAGCCTTTTTACAGGGTTCAGGTTACCAGAACTAAACGTAACATTCCAGCTGAAGGTGTACCAGCAGCGTAAATGACAGTATTATTGTATTTCCTGTATCATTTTCCAAGCCATCACTTGCACCCCCGAATTTTACGCTTTAATTGTAATTGTGCATTGAGGTAGACGTCTTCATTGTTTCAAAATTATAATCTTTTAATGCAAGTCTCCTGTTGCACGGAAAACTGAATATTTCTGAGTATGAGGGAGATCAAATTTCTCTACTGTCTACATAGCAATTTGTATAGACTGGGAGCCACAGCAAATCTAGAATTTCACCTGTAACACTGGAGTTGGACCTAATTAATTCATCATGTGAGCAGAATGCATTATTTGCAGTCACCACACCTCTCCTGACTCTGTTCTCTTTTTGGGCTTTTCAAAAAGGGGACTGGGCAGGATTCTATTCATAGAACCAACTAAATCAAAACCCTCCTGTGTCGTACATGATACCTCCAGCTTTACAGGCGTTGTCCCAAGAAGTGCTGCGTGCCCTTGGTAGCATGCCCTACTTCTGCCAATCCCAGGAAAAAAAATGGGATTTGGGAGGTCTGAGACCATACAAGATGAAAGAAATAACTTTGTACTAACATAAATGTGAAACGATTCCAGTACGTAGGATGGAAAGAGCTGAAGTTCTGATCTTTGAGAGCGTTCTACCATTATGTGAACTTCATCAATTGTCTTGTCTGCCAGTTATCAATGGAAAATACTCTGGAAGTACCTGGAAGTGACTTAGTTCCTGTTCTGATGACTTCAAGGTTGGATTCTGACAATGATCAGATGCCCCCCTAAAAAACAGCATGTGCATAACAGTGAGGGAAAGAGAATAAGATGCATGGGATTGAAGAACAAGGCAACGTGGAGTCAAGAGTAGAAAAGAAAGTAATTTGGACATTATTCCACTCATGCAAAGACACAAGGCTGAATGAAATTTTTGCAGGCTCAAGAAGGAGCCGGAAAGATGCAAGGTTAAAAGTGGGGAAATGGAAGCCTGCATAGGATGAGTATACGGTTGACTAAAAAATGCCATCCAGACAGGACCTGTGCTGATGGCCGTACAGCAGCAGCCACCCTGGAATGACTCGCTCCCCCTTAAAGAAACAACCAGAAATGGCAGGTAGAAGAATGGAGGCTCTTGCTCTGCTTGGTCTTGCAAAAGAGTAGAGCAAAGGGAAGAATAAATGGGATTGGGCAGGCAGTGTTGTCTGCTGGAGAGGATGCTGTTGATTTATAGTGAGATCATGGGCAAATCGCTCCACCAGTCTGGTTTTCCACTGCAGCTGAGCTGTTTCTGGCTACATGCATGGACAAGTGTAATAGTGCTCCTACTGTGCTAAAAATAATAAAACCCAAATATGTGCCACTTCCATTAAAACTGGACAAGCATTGCCAGGAATCAGATCCCAGGTCTCCAGTTCTTGTTATCTGCACATGTAATCCTTGTGGATTTGGCCGTCCTCATAAAAGTGCCACCTGAGTTATAAAGCAGATGGTCACAAATAATCTTTTCCACATATTTTTCGTTGTAGGAAAATGCTCCAGGACAAACCAAGAGCTGAGGTATGTGATGCAACTCTGGGAATTTCAGCAGAGCTGCTGTGATTTACTCTGTGTTTCAGTTCAGCCCCTGTGTGATACTCCTCGGATGCCAAACTTACAGGAGGAGATTTCTGGAGACGTGGTCTGAGGGCTTGTCCACACGGAGCAGGCAGGGATCCTAAGCTAGCTATTTTTTATCAACCCCCAGAACTGGAAGCAGAACGGACACTGCACTGCTCTGGTCTCCAGCTTGCATCTCCATGTGGCCCTGCCATATGGTAGCCCTGCCACGTGCTTGAGGTTCTCCACCCTGTGCTCCATGGACAAGAGGGTTGTGCTGAGGAAAGCAAGATTGGTCCAATTTGCTAGAACTGGCTATTAAAATTGCAGCAGGTTTCCAAAGCAGCTGATAAAAAACTGCATCTGCAAGCTGCATTCCCTGGTGTTGCCCAGGCTTGGCTGCTCCTGCTGACCAGCCTGCTGAGGCTTGGCTGGAGGCCCATGCTCAGCCCTGCCCTACAAAGGGGAGTTACTACTCCGGCAGCACGTTCTTGATTAGCACCTTCCAGGATAGCACGTGGCAGGGAAACAGCTACAGAGCCCTTCTCCCATCCGATGCATCCAGCTCTGGGTTTGGCATGCCCGTCATCACCTCAGTGCTGTTGAAAGTAATTGGAGATTAGACATCTACCCGCCCTTGAAAATGTATCTCCTGCTAAAGTGACTGCACACCTCCGTGCCCTTTGAATGCTTTGAATTGCATTCTGGTAATGGAAGGGGGTGCTGAGCTGCGAGGTAAGTCCGTCAGAAATGCCTTGCAAACTCCAGTGTTCTGGTACCTGTACAGGGATGTGTGAAGCCAGTGGTAAACTGGCAGAGTTACAAAAGTGGGTCAACTCACCTGTTAGGTATTCTAGGTCAGGTAGTAAGAAGCAAATAAGCTCTTTACATTGCCTAAATTACAAGTGGGTAAACTTCATGTACTGGCATTTATTCCTGACTACCCTGCTAAAGGAATGTGCTCCAAAATGGCTTGTGCCGAAGAGGACAGAGTCAAGTGCTTTTGATGGAGGAAACTAAGTCAGCAGCCCCCAAACCATCTGGTGTTAATGGACCTAATGCTTCTCCTCCCCTCCGTGGTGCAGTAACTTTTCTCTAGGGATAAAGCTTAAGAAAGAATCAGCCAAGCCCTTGTGTAGCTTGTGGTTTGGCTTCCTGCCTGCTCTGCCCTTCAAGCAGGAAATTCTCAAAGGGAAGGGAGTGCTTTGTGAAGCTACCTTAAGACTCTGCCTCTTCTCTTTTAGTCAGAACTTAGCAACAGGTCATCTGGAACTCCTGGAAGCTGACCAGACAGACTGATGGCGCCTACCGAAGGTATTTAAGCAACTTCTCTACCTTGATCATTTTCCCTCATCTTCTGTCCTTTACGTCCTTGATTGCTGTTATTCAATCCTGAGATAATACGCTCCTGATATCACCGAGATGGGAGAGACAAGCAGGGAGGAAGAGATCAAAGGAAGGAGAAGAAAGAGAAGATGCCAAAGGCAGAAGAAGAAAGAGGGAGGATTTACCTACTTTACATACCCGGTACACAAAGTTTCAGAAATTCTTAATATACTTAATTTTCAGAGTTCTGGGGTTACCACGTAGTCACCAGACAGCAGGAGGCTGTCAGCAGGGGCCATGGGCACGCTGCTTCCACCAGCAGAGGAAGTAGCTTGAAAGCTGGATCCAGAAAGCCCAGGAGGCCCTTGGCACCTGCGAGCGTTGGCTGGACTTGAAAAGAAACCCAGCAGAGTGCAGGCTGGGAAAACAGCATGGTTTTAAAATATCTTTCTGCTTCCCTCTGCTGGCCAGATCACAGAAGTACCAATGTCATTCCCACAAATGGGGGAAGGATCAGGGTGAAGAATAGCAAAAGATAGGAGGGGTCATCTTGTGCTATCACTACGCAAGCATTAACTCCACCGATTTCTTTGAATTTGCTCCTGAATTTCAGAAGCAATGCAACATATATGTCTGTGTCCTGGGGAGCTCAAGAAGACTGGAAATGGGACCAGGGCCAAAGCTGGGTGGGTGAGAATTGGGGAGATGGTACAGAGGAGGATACTGTACGTGGAGTAATTTCAAGGTTTAAACCAATAATAATATTGCATTACCACTTTTCTCATGCTGTTATCAGCTGAGATTACAAAGTTAATTTAACAACCTTGATCTAAACGTAGCTCTTGTTACAAAACAGGATCGTTATGAGTTGCAAAAAAATTCAAAACAAAGACATAAGCTTCAAACATTTTTGTTACTCACTTGGTTACACTGAAATCTCTTTGACTGAGAATTAAATCCCCTTTTTTTCTGAGTCTGAGATTATTTTCCTATGGTGTTTATAAGGACTGGAGGAAATCTTGAAACCTAAAAGGAACAGCCAATGATAACAAAATTCTGAATATGGAGATACAGAAGACATGTAACTACACCACCAGCTTTCATTTTAAGTAGGATGTGTGAGCTAAAGTCAAATCTAACATTCATGCAGTATTCAAGTCAAGAAATCAGCAGTCATTTCTGCATTTAATTTCCCTGTTTTATTTAAGAAGCAAAGGGAAAAAAAAAAGCACTTCGAAGCACGACTGTTGATGAATGGGCTTTAAGGGTGACTCAGTGCTGTTAAATGGCTTTTGCAGGTTGTCCTCATGTACTGAGTCAGGCATCTTAGCAACTCGCTTCACGGGGCTGACCCTCTCTGAACTGAAAATCCGAGGAAAGCTGCTGAGTGCCCTGGCTCCTGCCCAACTCAGACGCTAAGCTGCCCGGTGCCACCCAAGCAGCGCTGTACTTTGCAGGCCTGGAATCAAACGCCTTGTCTCGGCAGTGGCATTGACTGCCAAGAGATGGTGGAAGCTACTAGTTTTTCAAATTCCATCATCTCTCACAGGCATACCATGACAAAAACACTAATACCTCATCTAATGAAGCTCTGGTGTTATTACTACCAGTCACAGAGCTGCACTGGCAATACCACTGCATTAGGAGAGTTTAAATACAAGCTCCATGAAAATGTAAGTGTGCTTCTGACCAAGGATAGTACAGGTCTTAAGACGAGCTCTGCAATTAGAGGGAAGTCAGTGCAGGGAACAGGTCCGAGTAGTTGCTAGGGACCGGGCTCCTACAGCGGTGGGGTACAGGACAAGGTGGTGTGCGCTACAAGGCAGCAAACTTTCCACCGTCTTGCAGAACAGAGCAACTGGAGGGTTATGATGTGATAGCACTTCTTAGCACTCTCTTAGGAGAGAAATTTTGGACCTGAAACACCTCTAACTGGCTGTGGATAGAAATTGTTCTGGATGCCACTTCCTATCGACTGGTTTCATTAATGAACCCTTGCTGTGCTTTGAAAGAAAAACCTTTGCACCGTGGGGTTTTCCTTCTTCAGCTCTTGAACGATTGCTGCGAGCGCCGCTGCCGGTCGCTACGCGGTACCGAGCGGTGCTTTTCTGCTTGGGGCACCTCCTGCTCCGGAACCCCCCGGCTGCCTGCGGAAAGGCAGGGACCCACGGCAGAGCCGCCGCCGTCGGACGCAACGGCTGTGCGCAGCGCCGTTCTGTCCGTGCAACGAATCACTCAGAACCGTTAAGGCGCAGCAGACTGCAGGGCGAGCGCTCGGAGGGCCCCGCCGCCGGAGCGGGGACGCGGCCTGAGGAAATGTCCTCCATGGAGCCACAGGAAGCTACGTCACCGCCCCGCT